GGAGAGAGTAGCTACTTATGCGTTGACGATCACAATCCGCCGAAATTGGAACAGATTAAGCCTTTCTGCGAGGACGTGCAGTCGTGGTTGTCCCAAGATGAGAACAATGTGGCGGTAGTTCATTGCAAAGCGGGCAAAGGTCGAACGGGTGTAATGGTGTGCTGCTATTTACTTCACAGCAAACTATGTCTCACTGCCATGGCAGCCCTTGATTATTATGGAAGTAAACGGACTCATGATAGGTAAGTTCGATGCTATACAAGTTTTTTGAAAAGAAAAATTTTTAGAAATATCTCAATTATTAAGAATTACTTCATTTATTTGGTCCAATTATATTTCAGGAAAGGCGTAACAATACCGTCTCAGAGAAGATATGTGGATTATTATGCTACTCTCCTTCAAGAAGGTGTGACTTATGAACCTGTGACGGTATTATTGCATAAAATACAATTAGATCCAGCCCCTATTTTCAATGGCGGTCAAGGCTGTAAGTAATTTGTATGGAAGTTGTATGAATTTGTCATTAAAAATTAATACTTGCTTTACTAGTTTGTAAAATGCGTTATATGTATGTTATATTTTAGGTCTGCATTTTGTAATTTCGGAATCAAATAAAAGGATATTTGCGGATGATTACGAGGTTCGGAAAGGTACGTCTACTGTATGCATCTCACTGAAACACACTGTCCCTCTGACGGGAGATATACGGGTGGAATTCTACAACAGACCGAAAATGAAACCAAAGGTACACATCTATACAATATATGTATCGATTTATCTTACATGATAAATTAACCGTGTTATATTTTTCAGGAGACAATGTTTCAGTTTTGGTTCAACACATTTTTTGTTCGTGAAAAAATGAATTCCGAGTTCGACAACGGTGAATTACACGTTGAACGATCGACGAGGGCATTTAGTTGCGACGGTAGAGCCATGGAATTACCGATGGTTATGTCGCATGTGAAACCTAGAACTGGATCGTTGGCGAGTCTCGGTCCCATGCCACCTCCCCTCGTTTTACAGATAGACAAATCGGGATTGGACAAGGCACACAAGGATAAAAAATCATAAGCTATACAGTCCAGATTTTAAAGTTAGTTTTCTTTCATGTTTACAAAAGGAAGTAATTAAAAAAAGAAATATAATATATTTACAAATAGGATATATATGTTGAATCTTTTGGTAATAAATATAGATAGTGCATATTAGGTACGTTGTAAATATATTATAATCAGAATTTAAATTTTGAAAACAAACATACAATGTATTTAATATATAGTTAATGTTTCAGTCTTAAATATTTAATCTTAAATGTTTTCTTCTTCAAATAAAGATAATTTCAATTTCGAATGAAAACAGTGAGAAACATTACAATCTAAACTCGAGTAATAAGATATTGTTAAATGCGAGCAAACGCAAGATACAACGTTTAATTATTTGCGATTTTTTAATTGTAGGTAAGTCTATTTATGCATAGCGTGGACGGAAATTTATCGTCAGATGTGCCAGCGACGACGAACAGAGGCGGCGATGGCGTACAGCTGGGGATGGGCGGGCAGGAGACGCCGAGCGAGTCGAGCGAGGCGGACAGCAGCGAGTGTGACACCACCGGCGATGAGGATGGTTGGGAATCCGGTGAGTCCTCTGCATCCCTGGTGGTGAGCCACCATCCTCTTACACACAGCAGTAGCCGTACACATGTTAGCGGTTTCCGTTCGCGGTACAGTCTGAAGGAAACCGCCAAATATCTGCTGTCGCGTGGCGACAAGAATCGCAACAGTAACAGACAGAGCGTCCCTGATGCGAGTGCGAAACGTTCTTCCACTCCGTTTGCACGCTCGGCCACTCTCGACACGTAGTAGCTCAACAAACGCTTTCGGTACTTAAAAAAAACGATCCGCGGTGTTTCATACTGTAACACATCTCGCGCTTTTATTCGAAATCGCGACGTGCGCGTCCCGTTTTTCTTCTTGTCTTCTCCCTCGCGGAGTCACGACGCGCGCGTTGGATAGTTCGGTATGAGTAAAATGATGATTAGAATCCGGAGAAATCCGTCGTACAACATTTTTGCAATAACCTCCGCTCGTTACATCGCTCTTCCTCTTTTTGCACGTTCCGTCTTTCGCTGTTTCTCTTTTTCTTTCTCTTTGTTTTTCTCTTTGTCTTTCACTTATTCTTTTTCTTATGTCGGGGACCATAAACTTTATATTTTTTCCGCATTGACTACTCGCATCTTACCGATTAGAGTACTATTAACTGTTGTCGATTTATCACATATAATGTTCAATAGCAATGTAGTTTTTATTGTGAACGTGTACTAAGAATTTCGAGTAAATTATTTGAGTAAATTGATTGGTTTGCATGTAGAAGCTGAAAGTAGTACCAATTTAATATGATTTTAGCAAGAAAATGCACATTCGGAATTGTGCGATTTACGACAATAGTCCAATTTTTGTTATTTCAACATGATCAAATTCTAACGCGATCTGAGAAGGATGCTTATTTTGTTATGATTTCATTATTATAGTTCTTGAAGTTTTTCGTGCTGTGTTAAATCGATTGCACAATGGGATGGGTACTTATTAATTGAGAAATTTTTAAAATTGCATAGGACAATTACGATGAAGTAAAAAAAAACCGAATTAGTATCAATAGTTGTTTATAATTTAAATGTCGTCAGATAATTTAATAAAAAAGAAAGTA